CACACACACACACACACACACACACACACACACACACACACACACACACACACACACACACACACACACACACACCTGTAACTGTGAAGACATGCGAGCGCAGAACTTTGGCAACACGTCAGGCTGAAGGTCGAGTGGCAGCTGGAAAATACAGCAGACATCTTGGTGATGATGTCACAGTGCGGACTAGGGTTGGGGGGAGGGAGGAGCCTAGCCGGGTCACATGGCATGTTTCTGGATGCCTGGGGTGAACTCCTTGGCATTGGGGTTCAAGCTGCTGGTCACCTGAAGGAGAGAAGAAGAAAAACCGTCATTGTTATTTCTGTGAAGAAAATAAAGAAACAACGACCTCTGCTGGACAGATGAGGGTCAACAGTCAGAGACTAATTTAATAATCAACTAATTGAGAAGAAAAAAAACCTGAGAAACCAATCAGTGTGGAGATGTTATCAGACACGTTCAGGCACTGTGCTGTGTCTCACTCAGCAGCTCTTTCTGTATTATTGATTTCATCCTTTTTTATTGCACTATTTTACACATTGTTGTATCATATTCAGCTTTACACGTTTCATTCAGATTAAACGTGTTTCAGTGTTTCAGATTTTTACTGAATTAAAGGTCCTTTGTCTTTTTCCATTTGGCTATACTAATTATTTGTGTAGTTTTTATTCTATTTTTCAAACTTTATTTTATTTTATTAGTGGTTGTTTTTAATGTTTTGGCTTTGGAGTATATTTGCTGTAATCCTACATTTTTTTTATAATGTGTTGGAATAATGTCAGCTGACAGGACGCCATCTTCTGGTGTCCTTTTATTCTTATGGCCAAAACACGAGTTTTCTCTGTAACCAATGGTAAAGGTGATAAACTCACCACCACATCCAGGTCTTTGTCGCCATCGAGGACCAGGAGGCTGATCTGCTCTTGCAGCTGGCTGACGCTTTGAGAAGGGAGATCTCTGGACGGGATGAACCACTCCCACTCCTCCTCCTCATCCAGCATCTCCTGGAAACAGCGCTCGATGAACTCCTCCTCCCACAGCTCCTCCTCCACCTGCCGAAAACACAGGCAGAGAAGCAGCAGTCACACTTTTGTTGGACCAACGAAGAACCAAAACTTTTAACATGTCGTCCAACCTGAGAGCGAACATCACACAGATAACACTTTAAGGAGAGATGCTACAATGTTCTTCGGGTGAATCTGCTCTGCACCCCCTTCTACTAATCCAGTTATCCTTGTTTCCTTCTCTGCCTAAGATGATGCTGGTTAGCAGCTCAATAAGTAAGCCCAGGCTTTCCTAATCTAGCAATGAGCGTGTTCACATGTCAGAGGCGGGGTTTGCAGCACCTGACCAATCACAACGAGACGACTACTCGAAACAGAGCGGCTGATTTTACAAATATAAATCGGAAACATTGAAAAGAGTTTAACACAGAACAGAGTTAAAGTAACACAGCAGCTGCAGTCCTCCTTCCTTTGTGAAACGTAACGCTCTCTAAAACACAGCTCCACAGACTGTTTCCTTTTTCCAAACAAAACATCCTTATGGAAATTTCCAACCGGACGCCTCCCACCTACTCCTCTGTTAACCGACTCCACACGCTGTCAGCTGATTGCATAATCAGGCCACTGCCTGACCTGAATTCCAGCTCAAGGAGCCACTGCTTTGTGGTGCACACAGGCTTCAGCTGCTCAGTGTAATTTTCCTTCAAACTGTAAATTTCCACCTTAAAATCACAGCTACTTTTAAGAATGCACAATTTCCAAATGTTAACCTTCCTTTAACCTGTAAACAAACCCCTAGATTTCCACCTTAAAAACGTGAATCTGTAGGCAGTGATCTTTGTTTTCAGTTGAACAACACAGGTGTTGGAAATATTCTATTCAATCATACTTTCACCTTAAAGTGCACATTTTTGCTGTAAAAATCACAATTTTTGACAAACAGATTTCCACCTTAAAAACCAAAATCAGCTGAGTTTGTACGTAAACATACAAAGTTTCTTTTTATCTTCAACTTAGAAGTCCAGATTTTTACCTTAAGATTTGTCATCTGTATATACAAGATGTACAACAGCACAATTTCTGGATTTAGCCTGTAAAGATAATTACAGATATCCACTTTAAAAAGTCACCCATCATGCTTTTGGATACTTTCCCTGCCTTCAAATCAAATCAACCTAATTTCACTTTATCTCTCTTAATCTCAATAAACTACAATTTAAAATTCACATTACCACCTTAAAAATGAATATGTTTCTAGATACTTCTCAAATAAACAAGTCCAAGTTAAGGCTATTTTTTCTTGTAACATAAACCCCAGATTTGCACTTTAAAAGTCTATCTATGGAAACTGATCTTCCAAGCAAAGCAGATTGGAATTATACTGCAACACTATGACTAAAACAACAAAATTCTGACATGTAGTTTTCCTTAAACCTCCAACTCCAACCAGGAAAGTCTGTCTGCAGAAATCTACACCATAACATACTGCTTTATCCGCATATGGGAGCTTCACATTAGAGCAACGTGAGTGTAATCTATAAAAAAAAAAGAACAGATTTCCTCCTTAGAAGTTGACTGAGTCTGTTTGAAAATACTGATCTTTGCTTACAACTAAAAACACCCGTTTAGGTACAACTTATCTTAATCTGCAGATTTCCACCTTAGAAACAGAGCTCACTGAGCTCATATAAAAATGAACAAATCTGCAACTTCATGTGTTTATTCCCACCTTAAAAATTAATCTTGGAGTGTTTTTCAGATGCCTTGTCTGTCTCCCAAAATAAATCACCCTCATGTCAAACCTTAAAGCAGTCAGAGGAGATGTGCAGATGCTGATCTTTCATTTTAAGTAGACGAATACAGACTTGAGGTGTAATCTGTCTGGAAAATGACAGATTTCAATCTTAAAGGAGAAAGCTATATTTGTCTGCATACACAAGTTTTAGAGAACAATTTCTGGGTGTAAGGTGAAAAACAGATTTCCACCTTAAAAGTTATCTGAGTCCATCCACCTTACATTGGACATAATGTATCTATAAAACAATAGTTAATAAAAAGATAATTAGTCTGTAATCTCAGGCAATAATTACTCTTTCAACATATTATTCAAACATTAGATTTCCACCTTAATAGTCAACTGAGTCTTTCTGTAGCTACTGATTTGAGGTATAACTTCTCTTTAAATGTGTTCTACCTGAAAAGATCAACCTGCTTTGTTTTGGATGACTTTTCCTCCTCCATAATAAACTTAATTTCAGACTCTTTAACCATTTTTCCGCCCTAAACGCAGATTTTTTTCACTTGCAGTCCAGGTCATCCTCGTCCCAGCTCCTCACCTGCCTGTTGAACTCCTCCTCGTTCTCCATCCACATATACTCGGCGAACGGGTCGTCCTCGGCGTTGAACTGGCTGGTGAGGATCAACTCGGTGCCGGTGGTCATGTTCGGGCCCCCGCTGCTGATGCTCGGGTCTTTCATGTCTACAAGGAGAACCAGAGGACACAGTGAGGGAGAGGGACAGGGGTCAGCGGGAACAAACACGTAGCTTCGGCCGTTATAATGCTCGCTGTCATGGCCGCTGTCTGACGGACAACAATAGCAAGCAGCTAGCGAATAATTTTTGGCGAGAACACAACAGAAACAGAAAAATATCACCGCGAAAACACCACCGCGAGCACCCAGCCGCGTTAGAGGAGCACGGGGGGACGGGCATCTGTGTTCTTATGCAGCACAATACCTTCGGGGGTGATTTATTCGACGACAGAGAAGACAAACAGCCAACTCGCTGGAACTCGGTTGTTGCTGTAATGGCCGCGCTGCTTCTGTTTGTTTACATCTCCACCGTAACCGTCACCGTGCGCTCGCTCCTCATTGGTCGTTGACGTGTTGCCTTCACGGGCCTCGTGGTTTAACATCGGAAAATAGGAATCTAACAAGAGGACCACATAAGGTAAACGTTATTTATACCAGAGGTTAAGAATCTCCTCTGGGTCTCTGTTTCATTTTTTTATTCATTCACTAAATATCACAGTTGGGTACAGAACCTTATGTCTGGATACACATTATAATTGACGCTACACTTTAGCTTGTTATTTTTTTTATATTTAGTCATCAATGTAAGTAGATCACTGGACATCATGAATAAATATCAGCTTAGGTATTTCTCTAAATTGATGTAGCTACAGTTTCCATTCGAGAGAACAGTCATGGGTCTCTGTTGATTATTATGTTTACAGATGACATCGTGAACTGCAGTGAGAGCAGAGAGCAGGTGGAGGAGAGGTAGTCTCTGGAGAGAAGAGAAGTAAAAGTCAGTAGAAGCAAGACAGAATACATGCATGTAAATGAGAAGGAAACAGGTGAAAAGGTGTACATGAAAAGAGCTCAGGTTGAAGGTTGATGAGTTTAATTAATTGGAGTCAACAATCTAAAGCAATAAACATTGCACAAGGGGAAGAAGAGCATGCACACTGGGTGAGGTGGAGTGGTTGGAGACGAGTGTTGCGGTGACCCATAAGGGGAGCAGCCAAAGTATAAAGGTTCAGTAGGTGTAGGTGTTGTGATTCTTTTATGTAGAACGGTTTCAGTGTTGTCTGGATTAAAAAGCAAACAGTGAGATAACTATTTTGTGTGGGTTTACAAGTAGAGTAAAATGTTTAGATCTTTTACACAACTATAATCTGCCTAGGACAGTGGTTCTTAACCTTGTTGGAGGTACCGAACCCCACCAGTTTCATATGCGCATTCACTGAACCCCTCTTTAGTGAAAAATAAAATAGGATTTTTTTCAAATTCAAGACATACATATGTTTTTTACTGGTGCACAAAATGAGCCGTGCATATCACAGCTGAGGCTCTGCCGAACCCCTGAGACCGACTCACCGAACCCCTAGGGTTCGATCGAACCCAGGTTAAGAACCACTGGCCTAGGATAAGAAAGTCCATGTTTGAGCAGTCCTTGTGTAGTTGTTTTTTTATCTGGACATCCACTCACACCCAGCATATTTGTTTGTTTTGTAAATTGATCTAATTCTTTCAATTTGAGAAGGGCTTTCATCACGTTAGGTGCTGGCACCTTTTCTGACCTTGAATGCAGCACTGTAGTCCAAACTGTAGTCCAAACTCTGAAAGCCCGCCTTCCTCCGAAAGTTTATAAAATCCACTGATTTAACAAGCCTAAACCCATTTTTTTTAAACCAAATACATATCCTCTATAGTGATAAGAGAACCTGAGAGAAATTATTAATATAGAGGAGCTAAGTGTGTGTTGTGTTAATAGCTATTTTCATAGAAAACGTTTAAGCAGCGAACAGAAACAAAAACACCGCCTGATGCAGGAGGAGAGGAAACATCGCGATACTTCACATGCTCTAGTTTGGTCACCCGTCTCGTGCTATTTACTAATCAGCTGCGATCGGGTGTTGGAGAAAGGGTAAGAGTGTCCGTAATTACAGATAAATCATATTATACACGTAAATGCACAGTTAACAGCTTCATCCACAGTTTGCACGTTAAATATCAGATAACTTAAGGCTGTTAGCTATGCCAGTGTTGGCAGGTAGGAGGACATGTATGTTAGCAAAGTTAGCTGCGCAGCTTATCTGAGTCGTTTTTGGTTTCATTTTTCTCATTAATGACAGCGTACTTAATCTTTTAGTTAACATGTCAGGTTAAACAACGTAGACATCATAGCGCTGTTAGCTCGACCCGTAAAGCGTGTTTGGTACACCTTTCCTTCTCCTCTCACTGTACCTGCACAGATGTTACTCCTGGTCTGTGTCAGGCTGTGATTCACTCAGAGGCTCGTTGTAATCTCGCCTCTTGTCGATGTTTTCGTGGACTCAAAGTTTCTCTTCCTCAGTGAGGAGGTCTCCATCACTCTGTTTGCATCAGATCATGTTCCTCCTGCTGGGCTGAGGTGAATCTTTCTCTCTCTCCTCCTTTAACCGCCTCCTATGTTCCCTTTGCAGTAAAGATCAGAGTCGTGCTCCTCCGTCTGTTGCTCAGGGCCTCCACTGGCTCCTGTTTTCTTAGGAGAGGCTTTGTTTGAAGCTTTTTCTACCTCATTGTGTCTCAGCAGAAATAAGACTTGCCACCACAGAAGAAAAGGAGCTCCTGCTCTCTTTGACCACATTAAGTTCCTGTCATCTTTGAAGACCTTTCCAGCGCCTGTTTCCTTCTTTATCTTGGCTCTCTGTGCTGAATCCAGAGAGCGGGACAGACTTTTTGATATCATGTCTCAGAAGACGCAGGCTGACGGTGCTCAGAAACACTTCGCTGTGGGTCGGGGGCTCCTGGCCGCTGCAGAAACCTTGAACTTCAACATGAACGAGCAGCGTCCCAACAGACCAATGGGTGTGGGCGTGGGCATGGGTATGGGCATGGAGGGCCAGGACGGCAGCGGGCAGATGCCCCGACGTGGCAGCGGCGGTGGCGGCAGCACCAGCAATCTTGGCAGCACCATGAAGCTGTTTGCCAGTTTGGGGCTGTCGCCCTCTGACCTGGACGCTCTGGCTGAAATCCCTGAGGAGGAGATCAGTGTGGAGACACTGCCACACATCCTCAGACAGCTGAAGAGTCGCAAGGGGGAAGCAGGAGAGCGGCGGGCGGCCATGTCCTCTGATGCTGCGTATCGAGGAGGAAGCTGGGAAGAGGGGCACGTGGGGAGGATGGGCGGTTCTTCTCTGGGACAAGGTTCAGCCAAGTCCTCCACAGACTTTGGGTACAGCTCCCTGCAGGACGTCTCCTCCGGCCGGGGCTACGGCTTAAATTACAGCGGTGGAGGTGGGAGCAGAGAGAGGCCATACTCTGAGCTTTCCCACCGCAGTGGGCTCGGCATGGGCCCGTCTGAGCCCGTCTTTATGCAGAGGAGGATGGGCTCCCCGTCAAACGGAAAAGTCCAAGACTTCTTGGGAGTCATGCCCCCCATGTTCCCCCACGTGTGCTCTCTTTGTGACTTTGACGTTCATTCCACCATGGTGAGTACGTCCAACCTGCTTCCTCTTTTCTTCTCGGACTAACTGTAATTGTTTGAGCTCCAGTCTTCCTTCAGTCAGTGACAGGCGCTGATTCAGGTCCGGTTTACTTCATATAATTTCCTTGTTGTATCTCCTCACAGCATGTTCCCTGTCTCCATTTTCTCAGCTGAAGCTCTCCAGCATTGACCAGTTAGATTTGGATCTTTCCAACGGTCATCCAATTAAACCAAAAATCTCTTTTTATAATTAGTATCTGTTCACATGAGCTGGTAAAGCTGTTCATGTTACACATTCAGTCTGATATACTTGATCTTTTCACTTTTCACACTCACACATTCATGGACTTATCGAATTGGCGGCTTTTAAACCTGTGAGACTTTTGGCAGCAGGGGTCTTGTGTTTGTTTTTCTTTAGTTTGTGGTGTCAGGAGTGAGAAAGAAGGATTTAATCGATTATCACTCGAATTTGGAAATTTAAATTCTCTCTGAGAAGAAATGTACACTTTTTGGCTTTAAAGCAAAAAATTTTAACATGGTTCTTTTCAATGCTGACAAAAACATAATTTACCAAAAATCAACAGGAAGTTCGTAATCTACTGACCAAAGTCACACAGTGAGCAGGTTTGAAGATATGCGGGTGAGCTCTTCTTGCCTGTATGACTGTCACTGATGGCTTAAGAAAGCATCAAATACTGTCTGTTATAGTGATTATTGCACACAAAATATAATGAATTATTCGTTTTTGTAGGTCTTAAAAATATCTTAAACATGAATTTTTGGTTTTAAAATGGAAACTTGATGAAGTGCATTTAAATTCTTAGTAAATCTGGTCCTAAGTGATTGTCTGGGTGACGCTATGAAGGTTAATAACTGTGTGAACTGTTCCTTTAATATACAGGTTGTATTTTAGGAGAAACGGCCTGTTGAGTGTCAGTAATGCTCTGTTTGTGTTTGTAGGAGTGGAACCAACACGCTAATGGACTCCGCCATGCTGAAAACAGACGGCACCTTCTGGACATGTGAGTTGCTCTTAATACACAACAGTGAGCCAAAACAGATTAAGTTATAAATCTGTTAACAGCATGTTCACATCAGAAGAAATTAGGTTGGTTTTTAGAGTTTCAGTACCCAAACCAACACAAACGTGCTCCTGTGCAGCCCTCCAAAATCCCAGCGCTGGACGGGGATGACTCTGGCGTTAGTCAGATTAGTTTATGACGTACCTGGTAAGAAGTAAACCGACCTTTGTAGAACAGAAAATTTAAGGTTAACCCTGAAGTTACACGAATGAGATGAAATCCTGTTCCGTAGTACCGATCTCTGTTTGACCTCAGCAGGAGGTTGTAATGTTTCAGCTCATCGTTGTTGACTAAATGTTCCTTTGAGGTCTGTTCCTCTTTATCAGATGTGTAACACTGAATGTTGTTTTTCAGGTATCCAGAGTGGGACCCTGGTATGGGCCCAGGCAGAGGGTAAGAGATGCTAACATTAAGCTCCTCATTTAGTGTTTGAGATGTTAGATTTAGAGTCCTAAAGGACCTCGACCTAACCTCGGAAAAGTGTTATTTCTGACAGCCGTCCCCAAACAGATTGTCCTGCACTGATTTGTCTTTCTGTTGTTTGCATTGTATGTCATGTATGGTCCACAGCAGCAGAGAGAGCAGCAAGCATACTGTACACCTGACAGGCAACTTCCTGTTTGGTCAGATGGGCTTCATTAGATTAGATAAAGATTCAGAAACTCTCCTGCCTCCAGAGGGTTCACACACTGTCTCTGTGGCCTGGTGTTAACAAAGCTTTGTGTTGTGTGTTAATAATCCAGGTGTCTGATAACTGACGATCTCATGTTTTTAATTCCAGTGGTCGTCCCTGGGAGACCCCCAACCTGTCTGCAGGACTGCTGGGACCAGCCCCCATGTCTTCAGGACCAATGGCAGGGATGTCCTCGAGCTGGGGTGGAGGTGAGGGACCCACAGATGTCTTATTTTATCACTATTAATACTATTAGTATTATTTTAAGTCATTTGTCACTTTCTCTCTGTGCGGGGAGTCACTATTTTATTCATAAAGATTGTTTCAGACAGCTGACGTCAAGTCTTTAACTTCCAACTGATCAAGTCTGGTTCTCCTGTGAGCTCAGTGTTACATTTATGTGCCACGCTTGCTGACTTTGGGATAAAAATGGTTAAAAAGCTCAGGTACAGTAAATACAGAGAGCCATTAGAAAGAGTGGGTGACGGTTAAGAGACCCAGCTGTTTAGTGCCCTCAGAAAGCTGCAGACACTTTTTGAAATCTGTCTTTGCTCATGTGCGAACATCGGTGTGTTTGTGTGTCAGGAGTAGGTGGAGGACGTGGTTCCGGTTCATTGGGACAGAATAAGGTGAGTCTGACCTCCTCTGTCTCTCTGCTGTGTCTTCCTGTGGATCAGCTCATTTCTGCAGAGCTCAGCTGGTTTCAGTAAAGACTATGTGTCGTGTCCTCAGCTGAGGAGCAGGGTGGTGGTGGTGAAATATGAAAAGAAGCCTCTCAGCGACAAGACCCTGTTCGCCCTCGTTGAGCGCTTCGGCTGCCTGAGGGAGCACCTCATCCTCAAGAACAAGGTAGGAAAACTCACCTCGCTGTTTCCACCTCAGTTACTTCTAACTTAGATGTAGACATTAGTTAAACTTTCTTCTTCATAAATGTAACTGAACAATACAATCAGCTGCCTCACACTCTTTCATCCTGCACATAAACTTCATCTCCTCAATCTGAAACTGCAGCTGGTAGTACTCATTCTCCTTCGCAGCCTCGCTGAGCTGAACCCACTCACAGAGGATCTCCACACCAGGAGGAGGACTGCTGGCACCAGCTGCAGTCCAAGATGGTAGAAATGGAGTCAGACTGAGCTTGTGATAAGAGACTATAGATAGCTGGGGATTAAAGAAGTCTAAATATAATCCAGTAATAACAACATTAAATACGTGGTTGTGAAACTTAAAGCAAACCTCTCTGAGGAAAACTGAATTTCAGCATTGAAGTCTAATCTTTGTGACCATCAGGCTTTTCTGGAGATGAGCACACATGAAGAAGCTCTGGACGTGGTAAACTACTACCAGCAGCATCCACCGTTGTCGTACGGCAAACCCGTCACCCTGTACCTGTCCCAGACCCTCATGTTCATTGAGGTAACATCCCCTCGCTTGCTAAATAAAACTCACCGCTTCCCCACAGACTCAGATCCTCAGAAGTTTCTGTTTCTAACCTGCAGAAGGACGAGCGACCAATGGATCGACTGATGGACCGACTGACAAAGCGGCCGGTAGACCGACCAGGGGACCAACCGATGACCCGGCGGGTGGAGCGGCCGGTAGACAAACCTGAGAAAGAGGTCAAAAGTCAAGGCAGCAAGGTGGTCTTCTTCTACCATCTGCCCCGAGAGGACGAGAAGAAACAGGAGCTGCTGACCCTCGCCGAACGCTTCGGTGTGGTTGAGAAACACCTCTTCTTAACCGACCGGGTAAATAAACCAGAGCAGGAAACTCCAAAAGTTGATTTTGTTCATCTGGACGTAGCGTTTTGAGGGAGAAACATTTCGTCACTCATCCAAGTGACTTCTTCAGTCTCAGCTGACTGCAGGTTTCCCCAGCCTTATAAACAGCCTTATACATCAGGGGAACCAAACAACCTCTGGCGAAGTGGATGGCACATCACAGAAGAGCTACCTCGTCAGGCCAGGACTCTGCAGTCTATTTACACCTACAGGCCATTGGACACTCTTTCAATGATGAGGATGTGCACATCCTGGACAGGGAGGAACGCTGGTTTGAGCGCAGAGTCAAGGAGGCCATTTACGTGAAAAGGGAAAAACCATCTCTGAATCGAGGAGGGGGCCTAAGGGTACATCTTTCACCATCTTACAATGCTGTGATTGCAGCCATTCCCCAACTCTCTGTGAATGGTACTCATGGCCATTGATCAGTGGTCTTTGATCAGTGAGCTTTGGTCAGTGGTTGTAGATCAATGGTCATGAGAATTTGCATAATTAAGATTAAGGAACTGACCTCCCAGCCCATTGTTCCTTAAGTGGGCTGGTTTCAGTCATTATGCAAATGTACTGTTTATAAGATTGGGGAAACCTGCAGTCAGCTGAGACTGAAGAAGTCACTTAGATGAGTGACGAAACGTTTCTCCCACAAAACGCTACGTCCAGATGAACAGAATCAACTTTTGGAGATTTACTTACCTGGATGATTGACCATCATCAAGACAGAGCAAGAAACACTGCTACTCTTTGAGTGCTCATGTGATGCCAGCATTACTACAGAAAGTGTGGAGATCAGATTTGGCTGAGTATAGTCTGTGATAAGGTGAAATAAGTTTGAATGATGGCTGCTTTTGTGTTCGTCTGTGTGTCCAGGCGTTTATTCAGCTGGCAACTGTGGAGGACGCAGAGATGCTGGTGAATCATTACACCGAGAACCCCCTCGTCTTCAATGGGAGAATAGTTCGTCTCAACATCTGCACCAAATACAAAACCCTCAAGTGAGTGCCCGGCTTCAGACACTGCTACCATGACATGGTGTAGGAACTGTAAACACATACATGAATGAAATGCAGTGAAAGGGACAGATACACCCTTTGACTGGAGGTTGTGGGAAATAAATGACATAAAAGACAGTTACCTGACCAGAACTCTCCTTTCTGCCGATGTGCAGAACCATAACTATGTATCTAATCCATGAGATATTTTAATATAAGAAAAATGGACGGGTATGGGGAGCATCTGTATCAGTAGTTAAAGCTGCAAAACTTATGAAAAGACACTTAAAGATCTTCCTCCAGATGTTCCAAAGCCATCCAGTGGGCCAGATTGGAGTGTTTGCCAGGCTGATTCTGGCCCCCAGGCCATATGTTTGACACCCCTGCTCTAAATTGTGGTGATACGAGCTGTGAAAATGTACCCAGAATGCATTTTTTCAAGTTCTGTCAAGTCAATTATAAGAAAACATGCAGGGTACCAATGGTTGTTCCTGTTCCTCTGTGTCACAGACTTTAAACTGGTGCAGCACAGCTGATCCATGATATTTCAGCTTTCGTAGATCATAGCAGACATCATGTTGAAAACAGCAGGGTGTCAGCAGAAGTAGCTCCAGATTAGCCAGTGAGCAAACCCGACTCTTTATTAAAAGTTAGAAATTGAACATCATCTCTGACCTCGTTATGAGAGGTGGTGTTAGCTGGCTAACTGCTAACACAGTGTATATATGTCAGGATACACATGGAAGCTTAAACTCATACACACTCGTTCATACAGTGTGAAGCACAAACAGGGCGGAGGAGACAGTTCGAGCCAGAAGAATGGCAGAGCCAAGTCCTCCAACTCCAAAACCTCCTCATCCAGCTCCAGGAGCAGACAGGAAAATAAGGAAGAGAAGGACAAAGTGAAGATGGTAACAGAGGAGGAGGACGAGGAAGTGTCAGGAGTGATGGAAGGAAGGGAGGACGGAGAAGAGCAGCAGGCACCTGATGGCGAGGAGGAGGAGGAGCAGGTACCTGATGGCGAGGAGGAGCAGGAGCAGGCACCTGATGGCGAGGAGAAGGAGGAGCAGGCACCTGATGGCGAGGAGGAGGAGGAGCAGGCACCTGATGGCGAGGAGGAGCAGGAGCAGGTACCTGATGGCGAGGAGAAGGAGGAGCAGGTACCTGATGGCAAGGAGAAGGAGGAGCAGGTACCTGATGGCAAGGAGA